TCTAGCGCTTCTTCATAATCCAGGTATATCCTCGGCACGTTCTGCCATTTCATAACAGCGTTCATCTGTCACCCTTTATCTCTATTTTCTTTTCTTAGCCTCGACCCTCAAAGTTTGGCTGTGAAAACTCAATTTGGTTCTTCTCCTAAATCCAATATTTGATTTGAAAATGTCACACTGGCTCTCATTAATGAGCTGGAAAAGCCACCTGCATTTTGGTGCTATTTATTTGAGCCAAAGCTCGATCAGATCAGCCCGAGCCTCTCACTCCGCCGAGGGGTAATTTGACTAGATGGATTGGTGCAGGAAGCTAATAACTGGAGGAGTGACGGCAGAAATACATCTCTCGCTCTCTGTGCTGCTTTAAAAAAAATAAAAATAAAACTTTGATCTTCTGTGAGGGGATGAAAAGCCCATCTCTTATCACCTGCCTGGCTGTTGTCTACTTAACACTTCGCCTCAGATGAAGGGCCTGACAGTTTCAAATCCAGCGCAAAAAGAGGCTTTTAAATCAACAAACTTCGCTAAATATTTTCACCACCTGCCGTTCTGAAAGAGACACTTGGTAATTTGAGCATGACGGGGCTCCCTATGAATCAGTTTCTGCGTATAAATCATACAATGCTTGTTTTGAAGTCAGCTTGAAATCTAAATTTACAGTGTTTATTTTGCTAGCTTACATTGTTATTCTTAGGGTGAATAATTAATCCATGCATGTTAATTCACTGAAAAAAAAGAATGTTTGTTGTGGTAGTTTTCAAAGAAAGTCTACTTATTTGTTTTCACGTTTGGAGTGGCGGTCTTTCTCTGTTGACGTCGACCTGAGGGTTTTTATAGCAGCTGCATGTTAATACCCTTTCTTACCATTAAAGGTCCCATGAAATTAGAATAGGTTTTTAGATGTTAGTATCAGTATTGTTAGATTTTAGTATATCCACAGACGTTAGTGTATACCAAAACAGTGACAAAATTCACATTTAGAGACATTTCAAAGCACTTGGTGGGACATTTACGTTTGCAACGAGAATGATGCACAAAAAGAAAGCAACGCCCTTTAATCAACATTCTGTTAAAATTACATCAACATACTGAAATAAAAAAGGTCAGCAACTTCTGGTTCATACAGACTTTAAAGGGGTGGTCCAGAGTGTATTTTAATGCTTGGTTGTGTTTTTGGGGTGCAAAGCAATATGTGTTTATGGTTCAATGGTGACGTTATTTTTCATTTCTTTAGTTATATTTTATGGTAGCTACTCAGCTACCATGAAAACTACTATCATATTACCAGGTTCCTTCAAAAGCCCGTCCTCAAGAGGCTGTGATTGGTCAGCTAACATAATTTGCTGTTATTCGCGGATCGGCTCCACCACGTCACCAGAAAGCAGCTCAGCTATAACTTTACAGCGCATCTGGCTACACTACGCGGGGTGTTCGCTCTTAACCTGAAGGATTAACTTTGAGTGTATAACATTTAGAGATGTTGTTTATGTTTATGTACGCAGCTACAATACACATCAACTAAAGTTTAAAATATGATATCGTGAACCACCTCTTTAAGGTACGTGGCTTTGCTTTAAAGGAAAGATTCATCCAAAAATTAACTGCGTGAAATTATTTAATGTCATTTATTATTTCTGTAAGAAGGTATTTTGAAGAATGAAAAAAAAAAACACTATGGAAGTCAAAGAGTGCCAGCAATCACATCTTTTTAAAATATCTTCTTTTGTGTTAAACATAAGAACAAATCTGAAATAGGTTTTGAACAAGCGAAGGGGGATTAAATGATGACAGTTTTCAGTTTTGGGTGAAATATCCCTTTAAGTAGTGAAATTCAATGGTTTTATAAGCATAAGTTTAGAAAATATTTACAAAAAACACAAAAAATATGTATAGAGTAGGTAGATACACTGTTTAACAAACAGCGTTATAAATAGAATCAAAAGGCAGTCTGAAAGAAAATCATTTATATATGGAACAAGTGGAAAAATTAAAAATTGAAATAAAGTAAATACTGCTAATAGAACTATAAGAGCTTAAATATAACTTCAGAAGACTTGAAATATGCACTGTAAAAAAAAATTGAGTTAGCTTAAAAATTTAAAGCAACCGGCTGCAAAGAAATTTTGAGTTTATTAAGTTTTAGTGGTTGAAGTTGTGCCAAATTATTTTTTTAAGTTGACTGAAAAGGCTGTTTAAAGTATACTTTTATGGAATATTTTGACACAACTTTAACCAATGAGGCTAAATAAACTCAATTTCTTTGCAGCTATTTTCTTTAAAATTAGTTAGATTTTTTACAGTGTAATTCACACAAACTAATTTAATGGTGATTCATTTTAGATTAATTTATTATTTTAATAATAATAATAATAATGATAATAATAATAATAATAATAATAATAATAATAATAATAATATTATAAAAAACTAAAATGACTATAACAACAAGTAAAAAACAAAGAAAAAGAGATAATTACTAATATAGTGCACTATCAAAAATATTTAAAAATATATAATTAGTAATAACAATTTATAATAATAATAATAATAATAATAATAATAATAATTATTATTATTATTATTATTATTATTATTATTATCATCATCATCACATAAACTTGTAAGTACTTACTTAAAGTAATAAACTTTATATTACTTAATAATCAGTAATAAACAACATATTTTATTTTAATAAAATGATATCAATAATAATAATAATAATAATAATAATAATAATAACAATAATAATGTAAACAACATATTTTATTATTTATTTTATTAATAATAATAATAACTTAATTATATTCTTATTAATAATAAATATAACACATTTGCTAACCTTACATAGTATATCAGTACATCACAATAATAATCAGAACATCACATTATCAGATATAATAATACAATAATTATAAATAAAACAAGAAATTTTATATTTATTTCCAGTAATACTACTACTAATAATTTAGTAATAGGTGCAAATTTATTTTATTTCTGAGCCTGCTAAAAACATAAAGCATTCAACATATTATAAACAGAATGAAAGGACACCCACAGAAAGAGAAAAAAGAAACATGTAATAAAAGCATTTCTCCACAGCTCTCTTCTCCCCCTTTCCTTCAAGTGTGAAACAGCACCTCGGCTGTCCTCAGGTCAGCTGTAAACAACCTCCACACAGCTGTTTGTTTTCAAATGTTCGAAAAATGCCACTGACCTGTTATGGTTCAACTGTGAAAGCCTGTGATTGGCCAATCGCCCGGGGCTCCGCTATGTGTTTGTGTTTGAATAAACCAGCTGCCACACGCCAGCATCAATGAATGCGTGAGGCCCCTGAAACACACCCCCCCCCCCTCCCCCTCCCCACACACACACACACACGTTGACATAACGATAGACTGTTAAAGGAAATGCTGGCCGGCTGATCTGTTGGTGTGTATTGTGTGTGAATACAATGACAGGCACGAGCAGGCCTATTGTCTGAGTGAAAGCGAGACATACGGCAGTGGACCACCACCCCCTTCATTTAACAGCGCACAGCATAATGCCAAAGTAAACAGGCATTTCAAAAGAAACATGTTCTTTTTTAAAATGCATAAAAGCATTGATTCAAAAAATGCAGCACATAGAAAACTGCAGACAATCTATCATAATAGGTGACCCTAAATCATAAAAACAGTCATAAGTGGATATTTTTGGAAGTTGATATTTTGTACATCATCTGGAAGCTAAATAAATAAGCTTTCCATTTATGTAAAGCATAATATTTGTTACAACTTACGATTTGAAAATCTCGAAATCTGAGGGTGCAAAACATCTAAATATTGAGAAAATGGCATTTAAAGTTGTCCAGATTTGGTCTTAAATCAATCCTGATACAGTATACAGTGGGTACCGAAAGTATTCAGACCCCCTTAGGAGTATATGATATTTCAGTTTTTCTTTTTAAATAAATAAGCAAAAAGTCAACAATTCTGTGTTTTTCTCTTAATATGTTAATATGTTAATAATTAACTTGATTTTAGGAAATGGCTGCAAAGAGCAAAACATTTAAGGGGGTCTGAATATTTTCTCTACCCATTGTATTTACTCTGTAAAAAAGTGATTACTTTCCATTTCTTTAAAAAAGTGAGTTAACCCATTGCTTTTAAACTGATTATTTGACTATTCTTAAAGTAAGTTAACCCATTGCCTTAAAATATGTAAATAAATAAAAAATAATTAACAACAACTCCAAGTTACAACAGATTTATAACATTTTTTAAAGTAAATTCAACTTGTTGCTTTTAAGGCAATGCATGGGTTTACTCACTTTTTTTAGAGTAAACAATAGCTTTTTAAAGTGTACAGGAGGAAATGTAGCAAATGTCTTCATGAAAAGATGATATTTACTTTATATTTAAATAATTTTTAGCAAAAAAAAAAAAAAAAATACAGTGTATTATTGGCTATTTTCACAAATATGCCTGTACAACATAAGACTTAAGAAGGATTTGTGTCCCATGGTCTCATATTACAGTATAATGTAAATATTTTCAAAAAATAGAAATAAATAAATTAGTTACAATAAAAACAAATTAAAAGTGCAAGATTTTTAAAATATACAACCCATATGCTTTAGCTTAGAATGAATGAGTGAATGTGGTGAAAACATAATCATTTTCAAAAAATAGGTTTTTAAAATATAAATATAAACCACTTTAAATTTTACTAAATAAATAAACAAACATATAACAAAAACCAAAGCTGTTAATCCATTATAAGTGCATGAAACAAAGAAACAAAAAAGTCAGACCAATGAAATATGCAAGGTTTTTGAAATCTATGGTTCATGCAGTATTGATATTCATTTATTCATTTTCCTTCAGCTTAGTTTTTTAGTTCGTTAGTTACACGGTGACTCACTGGTTAGCACTGTCCCCTCATAGCAAGAAGGTCACTGGTTCGAGTCCCGACTGGGTCAGTTGGCGTTTCCGTGTAGAGTTTGCAAGTTCTCCCCGTGTTGGCGTGGGTTTCCTCCAGGTGCTCTAGTTTCCCCCACAGTCCAAAGACATGCGCTATAGCTGAACTGAATAAGCTCAATTGGCCGTAGGGTATGTGTGTGAATGAGCTGTGGAAAACAAACAAGCCAAAAGCAAATGAATAAATGAAATCAAATTTTAAAAATGCAAGAATTTATTTGAACCATAATAGGGCACATAAATAATGTAAGTTATGGTAAATGAACAAACAAATAGCATTGAAACCAAGGCTGTTAATCCAATAATAAAACAAAAAAGAAAGAAAGAAAGAAAGAAAGAAAGAAAACCACTGAAATTTGCAAGGTTTTTGAAATCTATGGGTCATTATATTTAGATTTAGCTAGACAAACAAATTGACAAATGGATTCGACAAGGTTAATAATCTCATTCAAATGGGAATAGCACATTAATAAACAATGGAATGAACATAACCACAAAAATTAACATACAGTAATTAATATTAGATGTTAAGCTATAAGAGATTTGAGCCCAAAGGCATAGAGTAGCTTTTGATATTGGTGGGGGCTTTATTTTTGTTTGTTTTTAAAACACAAATAAATAAATAAATAAATGAATACATAAAAATTATAATAAAAAATATTAATATAAAAAATTATATACAAATTATGTAAAAAGTAACATTACATCAACCATGTCTCATGCTGCAAAAGTAAATGTACAGGATTCTACTTTGTGGAAGAATGAATGCAGATTTCTGGAGGAGGGGGGATGGGGGGGGATCTGTGACGCAATAACCATTTTATCCGCACTGGATTTATTTCGTAGTTAAATTATTGAACATTTGAATAATTCTGGATATTGGTGGGGACATGTCCCCTCCATCTGTGATATTTCTACAACTTTATTTGAGCCAGAGATGCTGATAGCAAAACAATAGAAAACAGACTAATTTGTCTATGTATTACTTCATTATTTAAAAACAACTATGTATTACTTCATTATTTAAAACTACTGAAATGTCAATAAAAGTCCCTTTATTAAACTGTAGAGTTGATTTTTCAACATCAAAAGTCGAAAGAGCAGAGATCAAGGTCACATAATGCAAATCACAACCATAAATAAACGGAAAACATTTGTGAATTGCAAAATACAGATCCTGTTAATTAACAGATATATCTTACAGTGTATAAGATAAAGCCCTGAAAGTAAATCTCCTAACCATGGAATCCCAACTGATTGTATTTATTCAACAAATGAATAATTTGGGGGTTTGAAAACCAGTAAAATAAATATGATCTTGCACAGATGGCAGGGGGGCGGTATGTAATTGTATGTGAGGGCATAAAGGAGAGCGAGTATTTTCATCACAATGTCACCCATATGTTAGAAAGTAACATTTACTGTTTTGGATTGGAGCAGTGTGTGTGTGTAAGAGAGAGAGAGAGAGTTATGAGCTCACAGGAGGCCATACAGGCCATAAAAAATTGGTCATAACGGAATGGCGAGCAATCTATCCGGTGTGTATTTGTGTGTACAGTTGTGACAGTTGATGATTTTGCTGCCGATATTACCTGGGTGTAAAATAGATGTCAGTCCCGCCGCGGGTGGTGGATGAACAAGATGAAATCCAAATGTGCTTAGGCCACACAATCGCAGGAAACGCCTATAAGAGCTTCTGGAAAACAAAGAATAATGAGTTGTGGCAGCATGTAAATTGTATGTGACAACTGGATTCGATAATACTTCAGTTTCAAATGACTTTTATTGTGCTTTTGTGTCGAGCAGATATACTTGTTTCACAATACCTAAAGTATCTGACATTCTACTACAGTCACAACATTTGTATTGATCTGTTTTACTGGAATTCAGTCAATGAGCGACTTACAATTTATACAAACACACTGAAACACACACAAAATGAAGATAAACATCCTCCTCTGACTGGCATATTTTGAATATGCAACTCTTTTAAATGAATACTTTGCATAGGATAATGTACAATATTTACATTTAATATATTTACATTAGATCTTTAGATCAGTACCCAAGCCAAAAATGGAATTAAGATAACTTGGGGTCACAGAGAAAAAAAATTGCACACCTCAATGAATATGTAGGGGAAATAGATTAAGTAAATTTTTAATAAAGTGGAAAAATCTTGATAACCATAAAACTATAACATTCATTTGAACATTATTTATTTATTTATTTATTTATTTATTTATTTATTTATTTATTTATTTATTTATCTAGCTACACCTCATTTGAGTTTACATATACACTACCGGTCAAATGATTTTTAAATGTTTTATCTTACCCTGCTCACCAAGGCTTATTTTATTTAATCAAAAATACAGTACAAATTATTAAATTGAGAAATGTCATTGTATATAAAACAACTGTTCAAAAGTAGATTATCATTTAATTTAATAAGTTATTCCTGTAATTTTAAAAATGAATTTTTACCTTCATTACTCCAGGCTTAAGTCACATGATCATTCAGAAGTCACTGTAATATTATTATTATTATTTATTATTATTATTATTATTATGAATAGTAATAAAATAAATAATGACTGGAGTATTAATAATTATAAAGTAATTAAAAATTAAATAAATATTTAACAATTTAACTTTTTTACATTTAGTAAATGCTGCCTTGATAAAACAGAATCATTTTCTTTAAAAAAAAAAAAAGAAAAAAAGAAAAGAAAAGAAAACTTTACCCAAATTTTTGACTGGTAGTTATAGGTATATTATTCCTGTTCGACAGGGAAATGTAGACGACTCATCAACAGGGAAGAGTAGAATTTGAATTTTGTCAAAATGAACACAATTCAATTTCAGATTGTTTAGGCATATTATTACCTCAATAAAACAATTTTCTACCATTCCTCATCTGTTAGAGAGATATTAAGATCTGAATCCCAATTGTGAAAATGCAGGGGCATGTCATAAAGAAAATTGTTTGGGATATAAGCAAGAAATACTTCCTTTCTGTTTGTAAATGCTAAATTTTCATAATGTAAGGAGGAAGGTAAAACAATAAAACACATTGTAGCAAAAAAAAAATTATTAGACATAACAAAACATTTAGCAGTTTAATCATTTTAACAAGGCCAACATCGGAAATACGTTGAAGTCTATATATTGTTTTATAAAAATCATCCTTCAGTACATAAATGGGGCCACAGGTTAATAAGCACCCATACAATAAAAGAAATGACTGTTTTCACTCCATCTCGCTCCCCAAAATACCCCTGCAATAATGACCCGGTAACATAAATCTTGTTTGGCGACACTTTGCACATCGGGCAATAAACGAGCGATGTGTAACAGAGCCAACAGTCGAGACCTTCCAGAGGAGAAGCTCTGATGGAATAACAGCACTCATGCATAAAAGAGAGCAATCACTCACTCCATCTCTCTCTGACAGTCTTCAGTTATGGGCCCTGAGTAATCTCATTTCCTTTATCATCAAATATCAAATTCCTCTCTCTTATTGGCAAAGCCACACGCTGACGGAATTACTGGCGGATGCTGGGCCCCAAAATATCACAGCCTCTTTATCCAGGCGTCTCCTGACACCAAATGTCACCCTTTAACTTTGTTACGACTTTAAATATTACGGTGGCCCTGAGCTCTGGGAGTTCTCCGCAGCCCGCAGGTGTTGATTTTTTTGATGAATTTGAGCACGAGAGATCGAGAATTTGAAGGGCTTGAATCGGAGTGTCAGACGGTGATGCTGAGCATCTGTGATTATAACTGCGTGGAAGTTCTTTGAGCGGCAAAGTTCATAAAGAGAGGCGTGTGGAAAATAGACTGAACAGAGGGACGCTGAAAAATCACAGATGATGAATGCAAGTGAATGTGATTTTGTGATTGTTATTGTAACTTCACTCAAAAAAAAAAAAAAGATTTTTGCTGGTTGTTCAAACTACTTATTTAAAATGAGCTGAATTAAGGCAATTCTTGGGTTTTTTTTGGGACAACTTAATTGTTTTTTGTTCAATCCACTTAAATGTGCAAAACAATTTAACTGAATCAATTTGTGTTTAGACAACATAAAGGAATTGAGTGGAACGCAGTAGAGTTGCATGATTCAGGCTGAAATGAGAATCACAATGTCATCAAACAAATAGTAAAACAACAACAATAAAATCATGTGTGGGTCTAAAGTTGGTTACATTTTTTTTTTAAATTTTGAATAGACTTTGAATAGTGGACTTGAATAGACTTTAAATTTTCCTGGTCATTAATGCAAAGTAAAGTGATAACATCAGAATACAACTATTCATATTTCTGATGTTGAATTATGTTTGACACTAGAGGTGTGAACCTATACTGGTCTCACGGTTCGGTTACGATTATCATGCCTTCGATTCAGTTTAATTCGATATCTCGGTGCATCACGCTGCATTGACGATGCTTTCTATATACAGTGTTATATTTTAGGGGGAGGCTATAACAAGCTGTCTGTATAAACACACAGACACACAGTACCACACTGTATCTCATTTAAACAGATTCACAAACATATACAGCACCAAACAAACACACACACACTTAAGCCCTCGCAACAGGGAGAGCTCGCGCTGAGCGGAGCAGAAAAACGAAAAAAAAAAAGGGAAAAAAAACAAAAAAAAGAAGCACTTTTCCGACGGTCCCTTACTGAGAGCTCCTCTCAGCGTGAGCTCTCCCGGCTAAACACACATTGCGAGGGCTTAAACGGATAAGGGCTCGTAATGTCGAGCGAACAAAAAAGAAAGACAGCTGTGAAACATAACCAGCTTTGTCTCTTTGTAGGAAACACACTTTAGATCTTTTTAGGGTAAGAGGTTTTTGAGTTATTGCCGTCTATAACTGAATGTGTGTCAGGAAAATCGAAAACAAAACCAACTGAACCGCGCTCATTTCAGGCGCCCCCCTGGATGTACAGCGCCCTTAGCATAAGCCTATGGTGCCTATGCCACGGGCTGGCCCTGAGTTGCCTAAGTGTTGTAAATACTCGCGCTCACCTCCCTCGCGACAGAGCGCATAGGAGATAAATGATGTCAGAACATAATAACCGGTTATGATTATTACTGAACTGATGAAGAATTGTCTGCGTCTGCATCGCGGTGCACCAAAGAAACAATTAATTTTGACACCCCTATTTGACACAAATGTGTGCAAACTGTCATTAACAACATTATTAGATCATTTTGTTCTACTGGTAAAATCAGACATTTGTCATTATCAGATTCCCTCTCTATTCAACATTATATAGGCTATAGTAGTTATACTGACACTGTTAAACATTTATTTTCAGGCACAACACTGTGTTTGCTATGTAAGAAAAACATTAAACGATTGTTGTAATCAGAACTCTACAATGACATATGATCATTCAACTGATGTGCGTGCTTTCGGTTTCATTTTTACTGCTAAATGCTGTTTATACCTCCTTCGCGGCTCCCAAACGATCACTCTGTGCCACAAACTGAATGTTATTTACAACTTTATTACCTGTTATTCACAGCCTGTGCAGGTTCTGTTCACTAAAGTAGACGGCCCGCCCTCTTTGTGGTAACAGCTCACTGTCAGCAGCTCACGTCACATGTGATTTCACGGGCACAAATACATCTTTACATGAAATTATATTTTTGGGTAAATTATACCTTGTAAATACAGCATGTGACTCTTTAAACACCCTTTGGAGTTGTGTCCATGTTGCTGAGCAACGTATATAAAACAACATGAAGACTTGTGCGGCCACCTTTGCTTCTCTCCTGAACTTGAAAATGTGATTGGCAGAATCGTAGAAATGCTGGATTAAGATCGTCTTGGGCAGGGGTGAGCAAACTTGGTCCTGGCGGCCCGATGTCCTGCAGATTTTAGCTCCAACTTGCCTCAACACACCTGCAAGGTTGTCTCTAGAAAGCCTAGTAAGAGCTTGATTAGCTAGCCCAGGTGTGTCTGATTGGGGTTGGAAGTAAACTTTGCAGGACACCGGCCCTCCAGGACCGAGTTTGGACATGCCTGGTCTAGGGGGTCAAATCGAGATTGCAATCTCATTGGCTTCATCATACTACACAGTAGCATTCGTTTTAAATACAAAATCGAGCCAGATGTACCTCTGGCAACAAAACTCGCACTCTCTAGAAATGTTGACAGGGGTATGTATCCACAATACGCCTGTGCTGATTATTTAATATCAAAAAAAGTAAACAAATCAGCATTTGATGGAATAAATCAGATTTTTGATAGACATAATTGAAAACAATTTTGAAAACAAATTATACATTTCTAAAAAAAAAAAAAAAAAAAAAAAAAAACCTGACATCTTGTTTTTTTTTTTTAATCTGAAAAAAACATTATCAGATCTTTATAGAATTAAACCAACATTGATAAATTATTCCAACCCTGGCTTGTTCTGGAAACGTAGTCCCGTGAAATATGTCCCGGGAGGTACATATTTGTGCAGTTTTCATTTTTGCGAATTTCTCTAAAGGCCACTGTGTGCGCTTTTTTGTGTCTCGAACACCTCTCGCGAGCGCCCTTCGCACCTGCGCTGTTCTCGTGTAAAGCCGACGGAGGCCACTGTCGAGCGACCGTCTGTCAAACTGAGTGATTGACTGGGCGATCGGCCAATCAGTCGACCCACCCTCCTCCTCCTTCCCTAAACCCTACCGG